CAATAAAATTATTTAAAAAGTTATCTTACATGTACGATTCGGGATTTCTCAGCAACAAAAGATTTTCCATCATTACCATGTGTATGGACGTGCAAATGCAACTCACTTGGTGTTGGATCTCGACCATTTTTAACAGCCTATACAAAAGTTATTCAATTAAGAAGATAGACCTTAAACTGTCAAGAATGAAGTTTAGTTATCAATTTTGTCTTTATATAACTAATTAGGTGACAGAAACTATAAATTTTCAATTTTGCATGCATCGACCAACATCTCAAGAGTGACACATTTTTTTGTTCTGCTTCTTCCATTTTCAAGATAATTTTTGTATAGATGAAACAATATTGCTTAAAGAATAAAGATGTAGCTAAACAATGTAATTCCTTTTGATCGTATAAAACATTAGGAGGAAGTATTACCCAATCTGCTAAACCTCTGACTAGCTAAAGCTGATTCAAATTAAATTAACGGTATACAAGATCCTAGAGAAGAAATTCTCCCACTAAATAAAATATGAGTCCAATGATTGCAATACATTAAACAAAAATTTGTCAATTTGAAAATAAAGCAGTAATAGAGAAAAAAGAAGAGGTGAAGATTCAGAAGATGACGGGAGCTAGAAACAGAGCAAATCAACATCCAGAAGTGTTTGCATACAGATGGATAGACAATGGCACATGAAGTTTCACATGGTTTTACCTACTCTGTTATTGTCAAATAATTTGGACCACAAATTTTGTTGAACAACAACACTATGCTCTACTGCTTCTTATGATTTGGAGCAGAAAAAGACACCCTTAAAATAACATCCACAAGAATGGATAAATTTGATGATTTAGTCCAGAGCCACCTAGTTTAGATGTGAGGTGACAAAGAATGCCAGATAGAAATAGCAACAGAAATACCACAAGAGAAAGAAAGATAACATGACATAAAATGGAAGAAATACATTTAAAGTTCTACTTTAGCTTAGCCCATTTGTTGTTATTCTGCACATAAAATGGAAGAAATACATTAATTTCTTTTCTTCAGTTGGAAAGCTAGACAACCAGCCATAGCTCAAATTAGGACAATTTCAGCTATCAATTTACTCCATAACTATCTCAAAAAACAGTTGCAAACTTCAATAACTAAACCAATCAGTTTTCCAGGAACATGATTTGATTTCAATACTTCAAAACTGGTTTTCAATCAGTCTCTAGTCATTCAAACTCAAATCAACTAACTTCAATCAATTTCACAACAGCTCTCAACAAGGAATAAGCTTGGACACTCAAAACAGTGTAAGAACTGAATCAGATATTTTATATACACTTACAAGTCTCTTGCTATGCTTCCCAACACTGATAGAGCCACCTGTGTGAGTCCCAGTGGCAACTCCGCTCCTAGCACAATAATTTTTTGCATTTATTTCTGACTTTTCAATACACTTAGGATCTTTTCAAAGTCTCAACCAACTTTGCCACACATTATTTGGAATAGAGTCCGGTTGCACCCATTTGATTTTAGTTTGCTAACAAAATCACTATATCTTTTTGCTACCCTAAGCTCCCATTGGACCTGCACCGCAATATCAATTGAAGAATCCCAGTAGAATGCCTTCTGAAATAATTTTATAAAGTAATAACATTAATAAGTTACATATAAAAGTTAATATACTTTCTAAATCCAATTGTGATGGATTATACCTTGAATTCTCCAAAATAATTTTTTTTTATCTCATCTGAGACGCGTTTCCAGTTGACTCCATTAGGATCAAGTTCATGCCTGAAAGACTTAGTTATACACTCAGAGCATTCATATGAAGGCTCTAACCTGAACAAATTAGAAGACATTATTTAAAGGCATACCATATATCAATAAAAATATACCAAAAGTAATAGTACAAGTATGGACAAACCCTGTAGGAGAAATAGTAAGAAGCGTTTGTGGCCCGCGGGTACTGTTACACTCAGTTTCGCCTATTATGTTGTTCTGAGAAGATGTACCCTCACCTATTGTGTTTCTCTGATTAGGGGTATTTGGAGATGGTTCCAAATTAATAATTGGGGTACTACCATGGCCTGATGTTTGAATAGGTGGCGTACTACTAGGACCTAATGTTTGAACTTGATTGATGCGATCTGGTCCACCTGAGGAACTCGTACCATCTTGTTGAGAATTAATTGTGGGAATGGGAACAATAGGCATATTTTTACGAGTAGCAAAATTACCCCTAACTGAAGATATACCTACACGGCCTGCGCTACCTCGACCTCTACCTCGAGGCATATCTACAAAATAAATAAATAAAAGAAGGATATGAAATAATGCATATCTAAATAACATATGGCATATGAAGCTTCAAAATAAAATGTTCTCCTAAAGACAATATCAGAAAGATACTATTAAATTGATACAAAGAGACATAGCACAATAAAACAAATACCTACACTATCCAACGCTTGAACTACTCACTGAATTATTGAATTTGATAACTTCTTTAGACCAAAATACAACGATCTTGGCTCCAATTAATTCTGAATTTAGACAGATTAATCAGGTAACACTATTAAGTTGATAATAAATATTTTTTTAGTGCTACAAAAAAAAAAGTCAGACTAATGTAAAAAGAGGCACAACACAACATAAGCTAGAAGAGTACTATACCATTTAGATTACTACAAATGTGGTATTCGATTTGATTCTTTATAGATTATACTACAAAATAGATACATGACTTATAATATACCACACAGATTACTAGAAAAACAAAACTCAATAAAAAATATAGTAGTGCATTTTTATCAACACACTAGTCATCATCTGTTTCTTCTTCAAACTCTTCCTCATCATCCTCCTCATTTTCATCCTCAGTTTCATACTCGTCTTCAGAAGATTCTTCTTCGAACTCTTGATGCTCTATCAATAATCCATCATCAATGGGTTCAACTATTTCAATTACATCCCCATTTGGATCATGTAAGATTATATTTTCATTAGTGGTGAAATTCATATCTATCAAATGGACTTCAACTTCTTCAACTTGGAATGGAAGATTCAGTTCTGGAGTTGATATTATTGCCTCATCAGGAAGTTCAATAACATCCCGATGTTTAACTTTCAAAACAGCTACCCAATCATTATTGTCCTTTTTCGTGCTAGGATAAGGCATATAACACACTTGAGTTGCTTGCATCGCAAGAATAAAAGGTTCGTACTTTCTAAAACGACGGCGATAGTTCACATCGACTAATTTGTATTGATTATGCTCCTTGACACCAACATTCACAGTTGGATCAAACCATTCACACTTGAATAACACAGTTTGCTTTAAAGGTTCTTCGCGGTATTCTACTTGTATAATCTCTTGTATCCGTCCATAATAGTCACCAACATTTGGATCTGAGATACAAACTCTACTATTAATTGTTGATCTTGTACTACCATGATATTCCGTGTGAAATTTGTATCCATTAACAAAATACACGGGATAGCATTTTGCGCTTACTAATGGTCCATGAGCAAGACTACGCAAGAATTGGTTCTCAATGTGGTTGCATCGAACCTATTTCAAAATAATTATAAGACTTAGTTAAATATAACAAGCCAATTCAAGTACATAATTGCTTAAAAGATAATGATTTTTATAGTCTTACACATTCCTCGAACCATATAGCAAAACACGTTTCGGGACTCTCACTTATTTGATCCTGAGATAGATTGGAAAATTCTTCTTGCAACCGTTGTATGTACATACTTTATTGCAACAAAATAAGTTAAATACAAACTAAAAATATATGGATATATTTATTATTATTAAAAAATAATACCTTACAAATGGCTCAACCTCTACATAATTTAGTAGAATATAAGTTTGGACTGCCTTGATTTCTTCGAGGGACAAACTTCTCTTTTTTCCTTCTCCCCATAGTCAGCCTGGATGGGTGAATATTGATAAATTTTCTTCAAGATCTTCCATAGCACCACCATTATCATTATGGGCCACATTATGATTACGTGTCATGACGTGAGGTTCAAAATAATGAGAAAATAATTGCGTTGATTCCATCATCAAGTATGCTTCACAAATTGAACCATCGACACTAGCTTTATTCTCTATCATTTTTTAAGAGTTCAAATGTACTTATACAAGTAAATGGATAGACCATTAAATTCATAAAGTCATGTGTAGCATACTTGTCATAATAAGAGCATAAAAAGTTCATAACCTCTCAAAAGGATACATCCATCTATATTGTATAGGTCCAGCAATCCTTGCTTCATATGGCAGGTGTACAGGCACATGTTCCATTGAGTTAAAGAATCCGGGAGGAAATATACGCTCTAACTTACACAAGATCTGTGGGATGTCTGCCTCTAATCTCTCCATGTCCACCACTCGAAGAACAGTCGAGGTGAGATCCTTAAAAAATAAGCTCAATTCCGTAAGTGCTTGCCACACGTTACTAGGAAGTAGCTCACGAAAGGCAATAGGCATTAATCGTTGCATGAACACATGACAATCATGACTTTTCATACCAAATGATTTATACTTGTCTGTGTCTAGGCATCGACTCAAATTTGAAACATACTCATCTGAAAACTTCACATTTTCCAACCAATTGAACAAGACAATTTTTTGATTCTTCTCTATTGTATATGCAGCTTTGGGATAGCTTCCATCAATAGGATTCTTTGCCAATTGTGGTCGATCGCAATAGTTTACCATATCTTCATGTGCCTTTGGATTGTCTTTTTTTTTTTCATCAACATTAAGAACTGTGTTAAATACATTATCAAAGACATTCTTCTCAATATGCATGACATCGAGATTATGTCGGATCATGTTAGAACTCCAATAAAGGAAATCCCAAAAGATACTTCTCTTTTTCCATCCACAAGACCTAGAAATTCTTCCATTAACTTCTTGTGCATCTAGCTCAGTTACTTTCCTCAGTCCCAACTCACAAATTTGGTTCAAGATTTCCTCTCCTGTTCTAAGGGGTGGTGGTAGCCTTCTGACAGTCTGACCTTTACGAAAGTTTTTACGATCTCTCCTAAACGGATGATTTTGGTCAAGAAATATTCTATGACTGTCAAACCAAGTTGTTTTCCCACCATGACGTAATCTTTTTCCATACAATAAGGGCATGCTAAGTTACCGGCAGTACTCCATCCAGATAACATAGAATATGCTGGAAAGTTATTGATTGTCCACATCAAAGCGGCCCTTAATTGAAAATTTTGTTTTTTTGAGATGTCAAATGCTTCTACACCCATCTCCCACAACAAGGTCAATTCCTTTATTAAAGGTTGTAGATAAACATCAATTATTTGTTTAGGGTTGTTTGGCCCTGGAACAATGACAGTTAAGAACATGTATACCTCTTTCATGCACATCCCTGGAGGCAAATTGTATGGAGTGACAATTACTGGCCATGAAGAGTATTTCCTCCCTGAATGGCCAAAGGGCTGAAAACCATCAGTACATAATCCCAACCTCACATTTCTTGGTTCAACAACAAAAAAGGGATGAGTTTCGTTGAAGTGCTTCCAAGCCTTAGAGTCTGATGGATGACGCATTACGCCCTCCTCTTGTATGTGCTCATGATGCCATATCATATCAGCGGCTGTAGCATGAGATACATATAATCTCTGCAATCTAGGAATCAAAGAAAAATAATACATTTTTTGTAAGGGATTAATTTCCTCTTACGAGAACCAACACGACGTTTGTACCTCTGGTGGCCACAAAACTTGCAAGATGTGAGGTCCTCATCTTCACCACAATACAACATACATCCAGAATTACAACAATTAATATTTTCAACTGGTAAACCCAAGCTACGCACTAGCTTCTTGGTCTCATAATAGTTATTAAGCATTGTGTTATCTTCTGGTAAAGCCTCTTTCAACAATTACATCATTTGGTTATAAACTCTTTGTGATAAAGTATTCTCCATTTTAATATTTAGCATCCTGGAAACTACTGCGAGTTGAGAGAGGGAAGAACCAGGGTATAATTTTGCATCAGCGGCCTATAGCAAATTATAAAACCTTTGGCACTAAAGATTTGGCTCCTCCTCCATTGAAGGATGATGCTCCTCCTCCATTAAAGGATTAGGCTCTGCCTCCATTGAAGGATTAGGCTCTGCCTCCATTGAAGGATTAGGCTCTGCCTCCATTGAAGGATTAGGCTCTGCCTCCATTGAAGGTTCATAAGAATGAGACGACTCATGTTCAATATTATTATAAGACTGCCAGCTCAAACCATGGCCAAAATTGGGTCCAGTTGCTTCCAAGACCATTTGTCGATATAGATTCTCATATCCCGATTCAGGTTGAGCGCCACCATGCAAATCACCACTAGAAGACATCTTACCGGTCATATTGTTTTCTCCTTGATACTTCCAAAGAAAATAGTTTTCAACAAATCCATATTGATAAAGGTGCAATTTAACAGTTTTAACATCCATGTATTTAATATTGTGACATTTTTTACATGGACATCTAACATTGTCACCACTCATGCGATTGCGCTGAGAACAAGTAAACTTGAGAAACTTGTTCACACCAGTTATGAAACTTGAATTAATACCCCCTCGGCCATCCAACCTTTTGTACATCCAATCATGCTCTAGATTGTCCATGTTCCTATTTAATATTAAAATAAACAAGACCTTAGAGTTCTTTATTTAATAAGACATCAAAATGCTTTCTAAAATGAATAACAAGTTGACATCAGAATAAGCTGAGAATTACTAACACCCCGATCTTGGAATGAAAACAAATCTTGGAATGCTCAGTTCCTTTCTTTGACCAAGAAAACTTAGAGCTTTGTAATGTGTAGCATAATACTGTGCTACACATCATTGTTTATTATGGTATTACTTTACATGCTATGGATTTACAGAATATTATTTTATTTTCTGCTTTTGGCTTTGTAATCTGGAAAATGTTATTTTCTACTTTTGGAATGTTGTGGTTGTTTTAGTCCATTTTGTCTTGAAGAATCTTTGTGGAATGAAAAGAAAAAAAAATGAAAGTGATTTGTTTTAATTTGCAAACATACTCGTTACAGGTTTCCTCATTCTTGTTGGATTCTTTGTGTTGTTATTCTCCAATTTCTTGTCTCTTCTTCTTTATTTTATATACACAGTTCTCCAATAGTCTTGCAAATAGGAACACAGAATTGCCACTTTCTATTTTAATGACACTGAAACTTACAACGATATTTAACAATAAACTTCAATTTTTAATTTCATACTCCATAAGTATCAATAAAGTATCAAGCTGGCCTAATTAAATTTTATTTCATATCATTGATTAGCTAATTACATGCAACACTAATTAACCCCATAGCCAATGAATATAAAGAGAAGAAAAAAAGACATATAAGGTTAAAGGTACGCTTTCAAGACACTAGAACTTGATAAAATATTCTGCACTCTCAATTTGATAAAATATTCTGCACTCTCAATTTGATAAACTTTCCTGGACCAATCTCCTCATTTCTTTACTCAAGCGAGATCGGATCATATTCTCACTTCTTTTCTTGACCGACACTTCGATTTAACATTCGTGGGTGTAAGTAAGATTTCAGATCTCTTTATTCTCTTTACATTTTGTTCTTATACTTATTTTTTTCTGACTTCAGTTTTAGCAAAGTTGAATAATGATTCTCGCCCAGATCTACAAGACAAGAATGAAATCACAAAGAAGCTTACCCTTTCGTCTGAGAATCTTGCGGAGCAGAAACACACGACTTCAAATTTCAGAATTCTGCAGCAAAAATCTTGCAATTTCGAAAGTTTTCTTCTATTTTTTAGACATTAACCCTAGATTCACGCCCAATTTTTTGTATTTGAAGAAAAAAACTCACATTGTTGAAGAGAAGTAAAAGTGGGAGTCTGATAGAGAGGAGATAAAGTGGGTGTGTTTGTACCCTAATTGTTGGAATGTCTTTTAACTAGGGTAATTTTATTTTTAGGATGAAAATTTTAGCAATGAAAATAGCGACAGACCTAATTTCTGTCGCTAATAATAACTAATGAAATTTTATTTTAAGAATACTAGCGACGGAAAATTTTGTCGCAATCAACTTTGGAATGTCTTGATAAGTAAAATGAATGCAACGACGGATATTTTGACGTTAAATCCGTCGCTAAGTTCAAATAATTTTTGTCGCCCGACTTTCGTCGCTAATTTTGTAGGTAAAATAAAGGCGCTAATATTTAGCGCCAATTTTAGCGACGAATATAAGTTTTTGTTGCTAATCCGTCGCTATATTTGATACGAATTCTTTTGTAGCTTATTTGGCGACAAACTACAAAATACGTCGCTAATCTGTCGTTATTTAGCTACGGAGTATCTCTTGTCGCTAAATTCCGTCGCTAAACGCTGTTTTTTTTAAGTGATAATTATAGTGTTAAGTTCTTATATCCATGGTTTTCTTTTTAATCTATGTAAAGTGTGCGTTTCACCACTCGCTTTTCCTTTCAAGCCCAACGTTTTTTTATTTTGGAGCTTTTCGCTCACCATTAGCAACTTCCCTCCTCGCATTTAACATTTTGTGCATTGTTTTTCGTTATTTGGAACAACAAAAAAAGGTGTTTCCAGTGTTCGAATGGCACGGTGCCTGCTGTGGATTAATGAGATTAGCATTTCAAGCCTGACATGAATATCATATCTATTAATGAATGTTCCGTTAGTAAGTGACAACATGAAATGTTTATATTTGTCAATTTTTCTTATAAAAATGGGTCAAGAATAAATTTTGATGTTATAATAAAAGATTGCATTATCTTTTGCTCCTCAGTTAGTAGCAAATTCTAACTATATTTTTTGAGAGATTCATTCGTACACCAATTACTCTAATCCAAGTCCCTTACAGCTTGTTTGGATGGTTGTTGTATTGTATCGTATTGTTACTTTTAAAACGATGTTTGTTTTGATTGTTACTTAAATTTTATTGTATTGTATCGTTAAATCCGTCGTTACATAACGACGAAATGTGCCACTTTATGTAACGACCGATTTGGTGTGGTCACGTCGTTACCTTATTTTTTTTTCTCAATCTCACCCTTCATTATTATTAAATAATTATATTTTATCATTTACCCTACCTTTTTATATAATAATTTTACCCTGTATCATAAATTTTCTTTATAATATTACAAGTTTATTCTTCATATTGAGGGTGCGTGATATCATGAAACGATGACAAACGACACAATCTATCCAAACATTGTATTTATCAAA